TTACGCAAACATTGCCGTGATGTTGGGCTCTGCAGCAACTCCAGTTGGAGGGTTTGTGCCCTTCTGACCTCCTGGCCTTGTTCCTCAGAGCTTCCTAGGGACATGTTTCCAGCTTCAGTCAGCTGGCATCTCAGGGTATGTTCTGAACCCCTGTGACATAATATATATTGGTCTCTAACCCCCGGTTCCTGGCACAGTTTTCCAAACCCTTGGAATTTCTTGAGTGATAGGGGTAACTCTTGGGGAATGGGGCTGCTCACCAGAGGAACCAAGCTTTGAATTAGAGGATTGGCACTTTTAACCCCACCCCCCATCTTTGGGGAGAGGAGCGGGGCTGGAGATTGAGTTATGCATCGATAACCAGTACTCTATTTAATCAGTCATGCCTACCTAATGGAAATTCCATAAGACCCCTGAACAACAGGGTTCAGATTGCTTCTGGGTTGATGACCACATCCATGTGCCAGGAGGGTGCGGTACCCCAACTCCTCGGAGACAGGAGCTCTTGCTCTCTGGACCCTTCTGGACCTCGCCCTGTGTACCTTTTCAATCTGGCTGTTCTTTTGTATCCTTTAGAATACCCTTTATAATAAACTGGTGATGGTGAGTAAGGTGTTTCCTGAATTCTCTGAGCTGTTACAGCAAATTATCCAAACTGAGGAGAGAGTCATGAGAACCCCTGAATTGTAGCCAAATCGGACAGACATGTGGGTAACCTAGGGGCCCACTACATACAACTGGCATCTTTGGTCGTGCAGTCTTTTGGGACTGAGCCCTTAACCAGTGAGGTCTGTACTAATTCGAGGTGGTTAGTCTCAGAGTTGAATTGAATTATAGGACACCCAGATGGTGTCCACAGAGAATTGGAGAATTGCATGGTGTGGAAAACCCACACATTTGGTGTCAGAAGTGTTGTGAATAGAGAAACAGTTGTCATTTAACTCATTTCTCTAACAAGTGGACCTCGAATCCCCAAGTGTCAGGGCTTGTGGCACTCCTGGTGCAGGCCAGTGGTGCCTTTCCTCCAGCAGAGGGCGCTGTGCTCCCCATTCTTAGGGACTCAAAGCTCAAGTCCAGGTCCAAGAAATAGGGCTTCCTCTTAGCCCAGAGAAGGTCCAGTTTTTCATTTAAATATTTAAATCTGTACTTAAGACCTTAGTTTACCTTTACACTTTATCACGTTTCCCTGAGGGACTGCCCTAATCTATGATCACTTTCTTTTGGAGACACCCTTTCCTGGATGGAATCTGTGCCTCATCCAGCCAAACCTATAAACTTGACCACCGTCATGTGGTGACTTCAACCAATTAGCCAAGTGGCTGTAGACTAAACAAGAATATTGTCGTTACAAAATAAGTAAAACACTGACAAAGATTTATTTTTATTTTTTTTTACCATATTAAAAATGGTCTCAAATTTCTAACTTCTTATAAAAAAAATTCTTAAAAAAAAACCTTTGAACTTTTAACATCATTTGAATTTGTGGGACAGACACACACACACACACACACACACACACACACACACACACACACCCCTAGGGTGGGTAAAATAGCAGCCTCAGGTCACAGGTTGGGTTCTCCGAACACAGACTCTGAGCTACAAGAAAGCCACAGTGGGTGGAGGGGAGATGGAGCCTGTGATGCAGACCCCACATCACCCCAGCCAGCTCCCTGGTGCTCTGGAGCTGGAGTTGTCTCAAGTTGGCCCAGGACGGTCAGGCCTTAGACTCCTGCATAAACCATGCACTGGATGGGGCCACCCAGGAGGGCACCACGTTGGGCCAGGTGGCTCTTTGAAGGCGCTGGTGCTGAAGGTTGTCCACTGACAGTGCCCGCAGCAGCTAGGGGAACAAGTCTGTCACTGAAGGGGGCAAGCCACTTTGGGGTAGAGGCCACAGTGTCCCTTCTGCCATCTGCCAGGACTTGTTGGTGCCATTCCCTTAGCCAAGCCCCTGCTGGGCTCAGCTGTCAGGACGCCCTGCCCACCCTGTCCGCCCTGCCTGCCCTGCTGGCTCTTGGCCCAACCTCAATGTTTCTTTAAGCAGATCCTCTTCTTACCAGCAGAACACACACCCAGAAAGATTGTTATCAATCCTAGAGAAACATTGGTGGTTGTCAGGTGTTAACTGTGGCATATAAAAGAGAAGGAGTGAGAAGGAGGTGGCAGATTTGTAGGGGTGAATTTGTCACTTAGTTATTCTCAGCACCAAGGAGTACCCTACATACAGTCACCCGTATCCTGACGACTGCGTATTCTTTTCCCCCTTACACACTCCCTTTGGCCCCTACTAACTGCCTCTCCCCAATAGTGTTCAATTTCTATCCATCGCACATGGTGACCTGTACCCCCATGCCGGGCCTTTCCTTTTTTGCTCGGACCACCTTATCCAGAGCTGGGGTGCACCCACTTCTCTCCATGTTGAGCTCCTCAGCCCTGAGTGTGCGGCTCTGACCGTCTTCCCAGGTGCACTGGTACCGGGATGCCTGGGGGTCCCACCTGCAGAGGTGTGTTGCCAGGCGGATTTACCCACACAACTGTTTATTCCACAGCAAAGAGGAAGGCTGGGAGGAAGCAGGGAAAGTCAGTCCTTAGCACACGGCTCCATAGAACCCTTCTGTCACAATCATCATAATGACCACTAACATTTATATGCGGATAGCACTCAATTATGCACCAGACACTGTTGTAAGCACTTGACTCATTAACTCATTTAATCCTCACAATGGTCCGATGGAATAGGTGTTATTATCGTCACTTTATAGATGAGGAAACTGAGGGCCAGAGGGATTCAAAGTAATATAGCTAGTAGGAGGTAGAGCCGGGATTTAAGGCAGCCTGGACCCCAAGGCCATGCTCTTTATAAAGCTCTGCCAGCTTTAACACACTTCCTAAGGGGATCCCCCAATTCTCAGTGACCCTGGCCCCAGAGGTAGGAATGAGGCCCAGGCCAGGTAATGAGGTATCTCATTCCCAGGGCCTCAGTGATTGGTTCAGAAGAACGCATGGCAGCCAAGCCAGGCCGGGCTGTACCCTCCCCTGAGACTCTCCAGCCAGAGCCAGTGGGAACAAGGGACTGTCTTTCCAGGAAGGTGGCTGAGCCACCTGAGGGTGCAGCCAGCACAGACGGGGGAGGGGGGCAGCGCTGGAAAGACAGCTGGGTCCTGCCACGCCCACACTTGGCAATTGTGCTAGTTGGCTAATCCCTTCACCTAATCAGGTTTGGTTTCTGTCCCTCTGATCTTTCATTTGCCTTTGCAGTTTCAGTATCTAGTAGTAGCTGGCACATAGTGGCACTTACCTGGTTCCAAAAATATTTGTTGACGGCATTTGGGGTCTACCCTGGCATCTTTTTTGCCTATTCTGCGCTCTGAGCTCTGGCCAGGTTGAGCTGCTCCATCCCTGCCCCCCACACCCAGCACCCATCATGCCTGCCTTTGTTCTTATGACCTCTGTCGGGTAACACCATCTCTCTTCTTTGTTTAGGTCTGACTCAATCACTTCCGGGGGCGGCATATGGGGGTGTTATTACTGGGATCTGAACTGACAATCTCCCTCCTCTGAATTCTTAGCTTTCACTACATGGAAACAGTTACGGAAAGTGGCAGCTCCTTGAGGGAAGGGGTAGACACACCTGGTTCATCCTTGTATCCCCTTGGGGCCTGGCATTCAGATTTCCTCATATGAGCCGTCTGCAGGGTAGGAGTGGCAATTGTGTGTCTCTGGAGGCCAGAGGGGTGACATCAGTTGCTGATGCAGGCAAGGTAGGTCCTTTTAAAGTGGGCAACTTAGCTACCAGTTGCTCTGAAGAAATAAGACCCCTAGGTTTTCCAAGAGAAGCAGAAATCCATATTTTTATGTAAAATCTCCGGGGTTTTAAACATTAGCAATTAATTCACAATTTGAGAAACACCATGGAGGGCAAACCAATCTATCAGTGGGCTGGTGTCGGCCAAGGGCCCCATGTGAAGATCTGCCGGAAGTGAGTAATAGATGAACGAACGAATCTCCGGCCAGGCCTGCAGCATGAAGCGTGTGGGGCGTGACCTGTGTAAGGCACCTAACCAAGGGCTGAAGCTGGGGCTGACTCCACTCACCAAGTCATGTGATCAGTGTGGCACTGTGTCCAGACAGAAGGTGGGCTGGTGGCTTTCCAAAGCAGGCAGCTGCCTTTCCAAGGTAGACATTCATAGACAAGAGCAAAAGCCATGTAAAAGAGACCTGGGCCTAAGGTGACCCACTTTGTCCTGGTTTGCCTGGTTTAAAATCTGGAAGTCACACCTCCCAGGAACTCTCTTGGTCCCAGGCACACCGGGGCTGTTGGCCACCCTCCTTTGATCCCTGTTCCCACCATCTCCCTAGCTTGCTGGAGGATCACCATATGACAGCTGAAACGTTCCGGCTCACTAAGTGTCGGTCACCATGTGTCAGGACCTGTGTGGTTTCTCTTATGTCTCATAACGTCTTCATGGTGTGGATTCGTTACCTGCTGTACAGAGGAGAGTCAGAGGTTCAGAGGGTGAAGTGAGTGGCTCCGTGCCCTCACCCTCTCCCTAGAAGAGGGGCGGCCTGAGCCTGCTAGGCCAGTAGGCCCTGGGGAAGGATCAGGTCTCACTTTCTCAAGAATGCACTTACCTGGTTGGAAGTCCAGCTAGGATCAATGTTGGCAGGTCTGAGACTCCCACGCCTGGCCCTGAGTCCTGCCCAAGCTCTCCTCTGTATGTGCTTTGAACCCAGCCCCTGAATGGGACTACCTGGGAAGCCCTCAGAGGTCACCTTTCTGTTTCTAGAACACCCTAATCTGCTCCTGTTTCTCCACCCTGTGCCCACTGCACGGACAGGGGATAAGGCCGGCGCTTAGAAAATAAATATTGCTGGTGATTTATTGTCTGGTCTAGGGAGAGCTGTCCAGGGCAGGGGTAGGCAAGGGAGCAGGGCATGAGGGTCTCAGGGCCTCAGGAGGTTACTAAGCCAGTCCTTTGGGACTCCCTGCACAGGGTCTAGTCACAGTTGACACCAGTATGGTGTGGGGTGAGGTGGCTGGTGAGGTAGCGCACGGCTGAGTGGATGCCGTCTACAGTTCTCTGCTCCATCCTCTCCAGCATGTGGGTGACAGAGCGCAGGGCCGAGTCGGTCCCTGCTGCCAGCCTGGAGGAGAGGGCCAACCTGGCATTCCCCAGGATTCTGGTGACACAGTGCAGCCTGGGGCCTGTACTGTGTAGCAGTTCTGACACGGAGCTATGGCCGAAAGCCAGCAAACCCGTGGCCACGCCCATATTAGCCTCAGACCACACCAGGATGTCTGCCAGGGAGCTGATGGACCCCTCGCCCCAGTTTAGCATACTGGTCATAGAGCGCATGTAGTCGTTCTCCTCGCTGGGCATGTACAGGCTGCAGTCCAGGGGTGTCCTCCTCAGGGCCACCGTGGGGGAGCCAGGCGAGTGGTGGGCACTGCCTCCTGGGGAGGGAGGGACTGGCTGAGCTTGCAGGTCTCCTGAGTGGTCCACCCAATCCCCCTCAGTCACTACCTGGGGCTCAGCTGATGGCAAAGCTTCAGTATCAGGGAACAAGGCCTCCGGATTTTCAGGTTCCTTCTCAACAGCTTCAATGATGCCAGTGGCCTGAGTGTCAAGCTGGCTGTCGGCATCTGCAGTGCTCATAGTAGACTCATTTTGGGGGGACCGTACCTCAGTATTTGGGGTAGATGGAGCTAACTCCTTCTTGCTGTCCAAGACACCTACCGCCAGTGGTATTATCTTCTCCTTAACCAGTGAGTCATACTGGAAAGTCGGAGGACTCTGAGTCTTCCTTGAGTCTTGCACTGGCCTTTCCCATATTGGGCACTGGAGGCTCTTGGATGTTTGCAGGGCATCTGGGGCTGAGTGGGCAAACCGGACTTTGGTCTCCTTGGGCTCCTGGCTGTGCTTTGCATCATCTTCATGCTTGTCCTTGTCCCCAGACACTGACATGGACTCAGAGGTGGCTGGCTTGATGGAGGCCTGATTTACATCCTGCCATTCAGCTGACACTGCAGCACCATCAGCTAGTGGAACATCTGCAAGGAGGGAGACCTGACTTTGGGATCCTACTGTTGGGCTGTCTGAAGACCTGTTGTCATCATGGGTGGCGTTGCTGGAGGCTCTGGCCTTTCCCGAGGGTACGGTGGTCATCTAGGCCCTCTGTCACTTCTGCTGGTTGAGGGAGTAGCCATGGCCCTGCTGAGCTAAGCTGTCCAGGTGGTGAGGTCACAGGAGGCTGTTGGCAGCTGGTGATGTCACAGGCACCTGAGCTTCTGGAATGGTTGCCCTGGTGGGCTGAGTCCACGGGACCATTTGCAGCTGAATTTGCAAGTGCATAAGGAGAGAAAGGTAAACATCTTCGAAAGGATGGAGGTATGTACACAGGCGCAGGTACCCTAAGGAATCATGATGGATGGCTATGACTGTGAAAGAGGATGTGATGCAGCTGTTGATATATAATAAACTCTATAAGGGACCACTCCCAGCACCTCCCTGCTCACACCAGGGACTCAGGCCCTGGTTTGGACAGTCTTCCGGCAGAAAGTCAGTTTCCCAGCAGTGGTGAGTAGGAATAAATGAAAGCTGAAGGCTGGGCAGCTCCTAGCCCTGACTGTCTTTGGTTGTGGGGTGCTATAGACTGAATGTTTGCATCCCCATCAAGTTCATATGTTGAAAGCTAATCGCCAATGTAATAATACTTGGAGGTGGGGCCTGTGGGGAGTGATTAGGTCACCAGGGTGGAGCCTTCATAAATGGGATTAGTACCCTTATAAAAAGGACCACACAGAGCTCCCTGGCCCCCTTCTCCATTGTGAGGTTGCAGCAAGAAGATCACTATCTATGACCCAGGAAGCGGGTCCTCACCAGGCACCGAACCTGCAGCTCCAATGGACTAAGACAGGAGTTAACCCTAGTGATACAGGATAAACAGTCTCCATCTTCGTGCTCAGCTGGGCTGGGAGGGCAGAGCGGAACAAAAGATGTGTGCACCCAGAGGACGTACAGAATCCTGGGGAGTGTTAGACAGCGTGATGATGATGATGAGTCTTCTGGTTTGGACAGCCTGCCTGTTGTCAAGGGCTCATGGATGATTTGCCCTTTCAAGGGTCTCTCCACCAATTAAGCCCAAGAGTCCTTTGGAGGGGACATCTGTGTGTGGTGACTCCCAGGTCATTTCCCAGGCTTCACTCACTAGAAACCCATCCTCTGCCCCAGGTCTAAATAGTCCTGTAATTGCCCCAGTGAGTGAATATTAGCTTTGCCCACACCGGGGAGTGTGCTCTAGGGCAATGGCCTTTTGCCAGACTTCCTGGGGAACCTGGGGGTCCCTCCCAGGCCTTTTGCCTTTGAGGTGGGTTATCCCTAGACCCTCTGATGCACGAGTGTGTGGACGATGGGAATCACTGAGTTGGAGCACCCATAGCAACGAGGGTGCATAGGGAGACAGGGAGTCTGACCCCAGTCCAGCTCTGGGGGTGTGTCCCGATATTCTAAGCCATTTCCCTGAGCAGTGATTGGATCAGGCTAAGGCCTTCATGCAATACTGGCCATGAAGTCATGAGAATGAGATGAGGTCTGCTAGGGCCTCTGGGAGGCTTCCTTGCTCATCAGGAGACCCAAGAAGATGTGGTCCCCTCTGCTCCTGTACACAATCATGTTGGGTCTCTTGTGACCACGTGGGCACCTGGCCTGAGAAAAAGCCCCACACAGAGGATGGTGGAGCCTGGAGGGTCACAAAAAACTAGAGCAAAAGCTTGATCAATGTGCACCTGTGCCACCACAGACTGTGGACCACAGGGCTCCTCATCCAAAAAAGCAAACATTGTCGTTTCCCCCCAGAATCTAAAGAATCTATAGAACAGGAAACTATAAGCCAATCTTGGCATTTGTAGTGGGTTGAATTGTGGCCCCCCAAAAGATATGTCCATCTCCTAACCCCTGGAATCTGTGAAGGTGACTGGTCTTCGCACATTTAATTAAATTAAGGGTCTTGGGATCATCTGGAATTAGGGTGGGTCCTAAATTCAGTGACTGGTGTCTCTATAAGGGAGAAATGTTTAAACTCTGTTTTCTTCTATTCTGTGTGTCTATTTGGCATCCATTAATCACAGGGCCCAAACTATTTATCTCTCTCCTGCAAGTCAGCTTGCCTGGAAGTCTCCTTTCCTGTGCAGATGGGCTGACCCACCTTCTTATCTAACTCTCACCAAGCCAATATTGCCCCTGCACTAAGTCATCCCAGGGCCAGGTACCAACCAGGCAACTAGAGACCACTGCTATAGCTCGAAGTCCATAGAATTATTTAAACTAGCCGGTCCTAGGCTGTTTACGCTGCCTGTCTTACCTTTCACCTGGAAACGCCAACGAAGGCTCTGGCGTAGGCCTTCTCCTCGCTCCTGCTTTTGTCCGCCAGCCACGCTGATGTTTCCAACATGGCTCTGTGTGGTGGGGGATGCTCTGTCTCTTGGGAAATCTAAGTAATAAATTCTTTCCATGGCACTGACCTCTCTGTGTCATCCACTCAGTTTCCTTCGTAAATTAAAATCCCACAGGTACAAGTGACACACTGAGACAAAAGGAGAAGGGAGAAGACACAGACTCAGAAGATAGTCATGTGCAGACTGAGGCCAAGACTGGAGTGACACAAAGCAAGGAATGCCTGGGACTACCGGAGGCTGGAGAAGTAAGGGAGGATCCGCCCCCCAGAGTCGTCATGGGGAGCGTGGCCCTGCGGACACCTTGATTTTGGACCCTGGGCCTCCAGAACTGGGAGAGAATAACTTTCAGGTTGTTATAAGGCACCCAGTCTGTGGTAGTTTGTTACGGCAGCCCCAGGAAGCTACGAGAACATCTAACAGTGAGGCTCCAAGGCTGACCCTCCACCCAGTTATTGAGTCTTCACTCTAAATACATGCTCGGACACTGTGCTACTTAATCGTCCCAACAATGCCTTGTAGTAAGTCTTGTTATTATTCCCATTTTACAGACGAGGAAAATGTGGTTTATCTAGCAGGAGACGAACTGGGATGAGAGCCAAGCTTTCGGGCCCAAGCCCATAAGCCCACAACCTCAACACTGCACAGCTGTGGGAACTGACACTGTGGAACTAGCATCCCTTTAGAGCAGGTCAGAACTTCCACAGACCTGTGAGATCACATTTGGGGTGAACCAACTCTCCTCCTTCCTGAGTCCCTGATGCTGCCACCTTGGAGTGACTGACAGGATCTGGCCACTCTCCGGCCTCCCACGGCTGCTCCTGGGAGCCGTTTGGAGCTCTGTGGCCCTGTCCACATGTCCTCCATGACCCTATCCACCTCAAGGAGGGTGGTGACCATGGGCCCTGCCTGCCAGAGACACCACCTTGGGTGGACCTGGGGGCCCTAGTCTTCGGCTGGCTGCTCCTCGGGGCTCCCCATCCCAGCTCTGGGCTCCCTGGGCAGTCTCCCTGAATATCATCATCACTCCAAGGGGGTCTCCAGATTCCTTATCTTTCCAGAACTCCCACTTTCTGCATGTTCAAGACACTGAAGGAGATGGAGCAACCCAGGCTCTGTTAGCAGATGGACCGGGAATTCCACTGAGAACCTACACTGGGCTTGTTTGTAGGAAATGGGTTAATAAGCCCCATGGGGTGGGGGGTGAGACCCAAAAGGCATTCTTAAATGACAAAGGACAGCCACTGCTTTCTAAGGAGGTGGATGCCTTAGCCTGTTAGCCCTGTTAGCCCTGTTAGCCCGAGGGCCTTTGTTTGGAAAGAGCTGGGTTTGGGCCAGGAGCCTACTACAGCCCAATTGTTCTGTGGGAGAGGGGGCAAGTGTTTTGAAGGTCCTGGAAAATGTATGCTGGTGTTGGCAGTGAGCAGCAAGGCAGCTGCATGAGAGGGGAGGAAGATCAGGCCTCCCTGGGGGGCAGCAGGTGAGGCTCAGGGAAGACAGCAATATCTAGAGGGAATTTTTAAGTTGTTTGCGCTGAGGTCTCCAAGGTACACCCCTCATCTTCTCCACAACATCAGAAGTCACAGCTTGTTTGCCAGTGCTTTTATGTGAGTGCTGGTGGCCAGGGGACTTCAGGCCAGGGGTAGTGTGTGAGTGTGTGTGTGTGTGTGTGTGTGTGTGTGTGTGTGTGTAGTGTGTTTGCCTCCTGGAGGTTGGCTTGGAGCAGAGACTGTTGTGGCTGCTCACTCGAGTGTTGTGAAAGCATTCACGAGTCAGGTAGAAATACAGAAGGAAGATTTATTAAAGGAAGAGGAGGGTCGGCTGGGCAGAGTCTGCTGGAGACTACTGCAAACTACTGCCTCAAGTCTTTGTTTGGTCTGCCGATGAAAAAACATCCAGCCTGGGCCGGCCGAGTGGCGCGATGGTTAAGAACTCGCTTGGGATGCCAGAGGGCCCCGGTTCGGATCCCACATATGAGGGCCAGTGACACTGCCCTCCACAGCTAAGATGCTGAACAACAGCTCGACCTGGAGCTGGGCTGCCATGAGTCGCCGGCGACGGCGTAGGCTGCACTCCCTGTGGCAGTGGGTTGCCATGGGCTACAGTATGTAGCCAGCAGCCAGCGTGAGCGGCCAGCAGCCGCAGTGAGCGGCCGTCCAGAAGCCGGCGACTGATCTGCCTCGCCAGAGAAGAGCGCAATGATGGTGCCAACTTGGGCCAGTGAAGCAACATCCTCCACAACTAGATTGAAGAACAAAAACGACAGCAACTTGTCTGTTCCCCTTCCCCCAATTCCCCAGCACTGTTCCCATCCCCCCAATTCCCCAATTAAAAAAAAAAATCTTAAAACAAAACAAACAAACAAACAAAAACATCCAGCCTAAGAGAAAGCTTATGAGTTTATTTGAGCCAAACTGACGACAATTGAATGGATTGAGAAAATGCTCTGGAAAATGGCGGGTTTGCGATTTACTTTATACATTAGAATCAAAGGAGTAGAGTTACATGAAATCCATTGGTTGTAGATTAAGGGGGTGGGAGAAAGCAAAGTGGAGAAATCTCTGGGACTGGATAAAAAGTAAAATGGAGAGATACTTCTTTTACATTGGTGGGTACAGGATAGTTAATAGCATTTTACAGCACTTAGAGATGGTATTCGGGGAACAAGATAACAATGAGGGATTTTGTAGTTTCCTGCTCTGGTGAGGTGGGTTG